CATTATTTTCCACATACTGTACATTATTGTTTCTCCTCTATGCCCCACCTTTCTGAAACGTGTCGATTTTTACAAAGCTCATTGGTCTGAAAAGCGAGGTGTGCTCTGATTGGCCAGCTATCCAGTGCGTTGTGATTGGCCGAATACCTAAAGCGTGTGATGGAAATGTTACGCCCCTTACCATATTGTGATGCCGTGTCCAGCCAGAGCGACGAGACAAAAACATTAAAACCCATTTTAAACAAGGCATTTGTTGCATCCAGTGGGGACATAATTATGGATTATAAAGACATATACTGTCTTTTTATGCGTTGCGTTGCATCGTGCCGCGTAAACAAAAAATCCATGTCTGCAATTGTGTTCGGAGAAACAACAAGCGCTACTCTACACTGCTCAAAATTCGCGTTTGAATCATCAGTGGCAAATTCTTTAAATATGAAAACGTACTTACAGTCTGTGAGTCAGAACAGCCGGCATTGTAGTCTATTCTACCAGGACCAGAAAACAGTCCTCCATAAAATGCGCTGGACACATCTGAATATTTGGGTTGAACTGTTCTGGAACAGTGTTGTAAATACAGCTTAACCACAGATTTCTAGTCGTGTCCTCTTTTGGAAGGTCAAACAAAGCAGTGTCGCTTACACACTGAAACACACAGCGTCTTCACCACATGGCGGCGTCGGCAACAACAATACTACAGCGAGAATCAAAGTTACGCCTTCTTTCTTTGCGTTAACATTTGGGTGGCGTTATGCAAATCTTCCCACACAGTGACGTAGACATGTGGGGGCGTGTTAGAACAAGCCATTTTAGGTTGGTGTGTGTAACGGAGCTGACAAGACGTGAGACGTGCGGATCCATGTGCAAGCTTTTATTAAAGCAGAAGAGGTCAGAAACACAGGCAGGGTCGAACAATGGCAAACAGGTATATGGCGGGCAAGACACAAGAATAATCCTAGCGCTAGCGTAGGTCAACGATCGGCGAACAGAATCAAAAGGGCGAGACTAGAGGGGATAAATCCAGGAAAACAGGCAAAGATCAGAAACCGGGAAAACAGACAAGGAAAGACTAGGCTGGGCTGGGCTGGGAAACTAACGAGGGCTCTGTAAAGTAGCTATCACTGCTTGCGATAAGCGCATACAATACTTGGCAGAGAATGGTTGTTTGAGTGAGTGTTAAATAGTGAGTGAGTAATATAAAACAGCTGTGTGCAATCAGTGCTGTGTGCAATCAGTGTTGTGTGCGATCAGTGCAATGAATAATGGGATATGTAGTCCGGGATGATATGCAACAGTTTGTGTAGTGCAAGAGTCAATGTAATGGAAAGGGTGACCTCTGATGGTAAGCAGACGGAAGTTCATGGACCGGATTCATGACAGTGTGGTTGACTCTTAACTTTTATAAAGAATATCTCTTTGGATTTGAGACTTTAGTCTTTGCAACTTTACAGATATTTTTTATGCACCAAGAGCTTGTAACACTCTTGGTGCATAAAAGAAAGGAAAACTTGAAATTGCAAGATATGACCCCTTTAATGGCTATGTTAAGCTGGGTTTCATTGGCTGTTTTTCTCCTTTTTGATGGATATTAGGGCATCAATGCCAAGACTATTTCAAGCTGAATGCACAGCCTTTCAAAGTATTTTTTGTCCAGTGTCTGCACTATTTCTCTTCAGAAGTTCCTTTTGTTCAGTGCAAAAATTCAAGAATTCAACCATTCAAGGTGCAAGTGTGACCCATGCATACTCTTCTCTCAGATGAAGACGAATGGCGGGCCGGGTTTGGCCCATGCGCCGCCAATTGAATAGCCCTGCTTTATCTGATAACCTATTGAGTCGATAACCTACTGCAGTCATCAATTTTGCTTAAATACACTCATCTGCACTCATAAATGTACAATAAAGTCACAGCATCCAACACAAAAGATTTTTTTTTTACTGAACTTGCATTGCTTTCATTAACAAAGTCATTTGAGAACTTGTCTGTCTGTTGAAGTAAAAATACTTTCTCTTATTCTAGTTTAATTTTCAGAGAATGTTTCCGTAAGCCATTTCTAGGTGAAAGATTATTATTTTCTTGTGATAATAGTGTGTTTTGTACATGTTGGGGTGTAGGTGAGTGGCAGCAGTGGGAAATTTGCGTTTAAAATCTAAAAACTGAACCAGTCCACCCAGAGCGAGTGTTGCAAATTGGGTTAAAATTATTTATTCTATAATGAACCTGGCACAATATTGTTTCAAATGATTTTATATCACATTTCCGAGATCATTTGTTGTATTTGCATACACAATAAATAAAAACTAGGAGAAATGACTTGGGAGTGCACAGGTGATTGTGGTGAGTGTGGCTGCTGTAATGATCAGGTGCATCACTGTTTTCCTCTTGTCTTGTCTTGTGACAGTGCTGTTCGGGAGCGATTTCCCAGGCTTCTTAGACAGTTTTTTTATTTTTCAATAATGTTTTGAATTAACAGGACTCAATGTACGGTACAATTATTAGTGTTTGTCAGAAATAAAGTCAGTCAATCATTTATTTGGTCAAGGACAGGAAGCCTGATTCCAGGCTGGCTGCCAAAAGAACGCATTGCTAATGTGTCATTGGGCACTTTCCCAACTGTAATACAGAAATTTAAAGTTAAGAAATCAAAATTGATCCTATTTACCTGTGCATAATTAAGCAGTGCATGTCATTTTAGAGAAACAATCTTTGTATTTATAATTATCGTCAAAATGTGATCGCTTGTTGTTGCAGTGATTCAGATGTGTGTGTTACTTCTGTAGGACAGTCATGTGCTTCCACCTCCAATCTGCTTTGAAGAGGAAACATGCACAAACATCCCTCCATGCAAGGTAACCTATAGGAGTCTGCATTAACCTGAAGAGTGTTAATGTGAAGTTTTTGACTGGATGTGTCTGTGTAACTAATTCAGGGCACTTTGTATCGAATGAAATCCAGGGTCTCATTCAGCGTTTTCTGCAACAGTAAGTGTAGAACAGGTTTTGTCATCTTTTATATTCTGTAAAGCATGCTTTTGTCAGTAGCAATGTGTGTTTGTGTTTGTTTTGTGGCAGTTATTACTGTGTGTATGACTCTGGGGACAGACAGCCGTTGCTGGAGGCGTATCATGAGGGTGCCTGCTTCTCTCTCAGCCTGCCATCCATAAACCATCCCTCCAGGTAAAACACCACTCATATCTGATGGCATTCTGCTGTCTTTGATAAGCCATTATCTTGGTTTATATATATATACCTATAACAAAGCGCACAGCAAAATGTGTCTAAACTAAACTTTAACTAACTACAATTATAATGAAACTGAAAATATATATTAAAAAACTGATTCAAAATAATAGTATAATGTCATAATGTAAAAAAAAAAAAAAACTTGTCCTTAAAGTAGGCTCTTTTTTTGTTACGTTACATAACTATACATTAAAACTATCATATTTATGATTTTTTTTATTTTTGGGATGAATTGTGACCTAGATTTTTGTGAAATTAATCCACACTGCACAATGTTCTTGGGGAGAGAAATACATTTAAATGTAAAACAATGTTAGTGTTTGTAAATGTTCAAAATTGTTTATGATATACAAGTTTGTTTTTGGTCTCATTTCTTTTTCCTATAATTTTGCAGGTGCAAGTTAAAAGATTATCATGAACACAGTCGCAACATCAAGCACATCAAAGATCCCTGTATGTTTCACACATGAGAAGCGAGCAAAAAATAATCAAATAAAAACAGATCAGTATCTGTCATGTACAGTGGGGCAAAAAAGTATTTTTTTTTCCCCACTGTATCGTCATCTTCTTTACAGCCATGGCTCCACTTGCTAAAATGCTCCCGCCTGACTGTAGTCGCCTTCCTCAATGAGCTCCCAAAGACCCAGCATGACATGAATTCAGTCAATGTTGATGTCAACACATGCTTAGTGAGTTCCTCAATGATTTTAACACTGCTTTCACTGGGGCTCTTGTTTTGTAATTTAAATTTTTGACATCTTGTTGTTTTCCTGTCTTCTCCATAGAGGACTTTATTAACGTTCACAGTGAGTGGAGTGTTCAAAGAAGGTGAGTCTTGCTTGAACGCAGTTATATGTGTCAGCATAACTGTTGATCAAGTAGCGCTGTGTGTTAAACTCGGTTTGTTTTCCTCTCTTCAGCTGATGACAATTTGAGAGCCTGTGTCAGGACTTTCTGCAGAGTCTTCATCACAGTTCCAACTCAGAATTCTGGGTAGGAAAAGCCAGCAGCAAATCACAAGCATGACTAAATAAAAACACTCTCCGCTTTGGGCTGTTTCTGCTTTTCTTTGGCTTTTGCTGTAATTGTATTACTTAATATGGTTTCTTCATTTACTGGCTTTCCCCATGGACACACTGAATTTCCCAGAATTCATGTATGTGCGTGTCTGTTCTTTCAGCAGACAGATAAAACAATCATCCTTAGTCACTTGGTTAAAATAACCTCTTACTAACACAAAGTTGATTGGTGCATGTTTTTTTGGTATTCGTTGCATTCTGCAGTCTGTGTATCGTGAACGACGAGCTCTTTGTGAGGAACACCACCAGCGAGGAGACACGTTGTGCATTTGCAGCACTAGCTCTGGCCCCCTCGATTAGTTCAGTGCTGCCCACCCTCACTGCATCCCAGCAGGAAATGCTCTCCGCTTTCTCCCAGAAGTCTGAAATGAACCTGGAATGGTCTCAAAAGACCTGACGTCCAAAAACGAAGAACCAGGGGGTTTTGGTGTCAAAGGACAGGAAGTTAGACGGTTTTACCCCTTCTTGTCCATCGTAGTACGCTTGAATTATTGTATTCTCATTTTCACACACTACCGAGGGGGGTTTAGGTCTGTTATGCAGGACTGGTGTCTTGTTCCGCCGCCTCTCTGCTCCCTCTCCCCGTCTGCTCTGGCCCTATGTCTCGGTGGCTCTTCCCCTGGTCGGGCTCGATAAAGAAACGGGCCTGTCGGTACCTCCTGCAACACTACCTGGGCCACTTCTTGGAGGAAAGACTCAGTTTGGACCAGCTGAGCTTGGACCTGTATAATGGCAGCGGGGTCATTAGAGAAATTAACCTGGATGTGTGGGTAAGTGTGGGGTAAGACATGCCCAGGCCAGTTTCCTTGTCCAAGTGGCTCTTATTTCCAGTATTTCGTAATATCTAGTCTTGAGTATGAGATCAACACATCTTGTTAGTTGAAGGAGCACTCATGTTTCCAAGAGTTTGATGACTTGTGCAGAAAAGGCTGCATCGTAGATCCTCTTCCTGGTCCTAAGTCACAGTGATCAAGGCTTACTAACTTTTGCTTTCACATTTTGAGTCTAATTACTTTATAATGTTCTTCAGTTTTTGTGGTGTTGTCATTTAGTTTTTCAAAGTTGAGCCTGCAAGGGAGTGCCAAGAAGTCTGTAAAAAAAAAAGAGTAAATAATAATAATTAAATTTAACTCAATAAATTATTACAATTAAAATGTTTTAAATCAAACAGTACAATATTATATATAATAATGTAAACACTTTTTCAAATAATATTTTACACTTTTTTTACAGTATGCATTGGGTCTATATACATACAAATATTTAGCTGCCTTTTCAATTTTAGGATGAGGGTGATTATATTCTGTGGCATCTAAAAGGCTGAAAACCCCTGATCATCCTTCCCCTGTTTCGCAGTCATTTCGAAATCTTCTGTTCTTATATGTGATCACTTGTTCTTCAGATTCCCTAACTATACTCTGAATCCTCTTTTCAGGCAGTGAACGAGTTGTTGGAGTCACTGGGAGCACCGCTGGAGATTGTTGAAGGTTTTGTGAACAGCATCACAGTGACTATTCCCTGGGCGGCACTTGTAACAGAGCACTGCACCCTTGAAATCACTGGATTGCAAATAACATGCAGACCCAAATACAGAACCAGTGAGTTCTGTGGACTGTTCTTTGTGTGCTCATTTGGTTTGATACATAAAACCGTATGTATTTTATACGGGACTGACTTATTGTTCAATTGTGTTTTCTCTGATCTCTGTTAGATGGAAATTGGGATTCCCAAGGGTGGTCGTCATGCATGACGTCCAGCATGCAGCTGGCCCAGGAGTGCCTGAAGGACCCACCCGAGGCGTCAGAAGAGCCGCCTGCTCCACTGGAGGGGCTGGAAATGTTTGCACAGACCATCGAGACAGGTGTGTGGCATTTCTTGTGTCTAGGAGTGTGGTTCTGTACATTTGCTTTCTTGATTCATTAAGTAAAACTGTTAGATGACCGGCTGAGTGTGTATTATCACAAACTTATGAACTTATCAACATTGGAAAGCATTCACTTGGTGTATTAAGTGTTTGTTTTTTTTTTGGACTGTTTGTGTGTTTGCAGTCCTACGTCGAATAAAAGTCACCTTTCTGGACACCATCGTGCGAGTAGAACATCATTCCCTGGACGCTGAGACTGGGGTTGCCTTAGAGATGCGCATTAAACGGTGAGGCCATGAATTACACCTTTGCACATTCATGGATGTATTATGTTGTTTTTTTCTTTTTATTTATAAAGTAGGATGGTTTGGTGTGCCAGATATGGTAACTCAGGTAGATGTGCCATTAAAGAATGGCATGAATCTTGAAAACTTTCAATCTGATTATTACTCAAAAATGCAGTAATGTTCAAAAGTTTGGGGTCAGATTTTTTTATGAAAAGCTCGCCAAGTCTGCATTTATATGTCCAAAATACAGTAGAAACAGAAGTATTGTTAAATATGTTTACACTTTAAAAGAGCTGTTTTCTATTTTAATATGTTTTTAAAAATTAATTTATTCCTGATGCAAAGCTGAATTTTCAGCATCATTACTCCAGTCTTCAGTGTCACATGATCTCTCAGAAATCATTCTAATATGCTGATTTGCTGCTCAAGAAAACATGTTATTATCATCAATGATAAAAACAGTTGTGCTGCCTAATATTTTTGTGGATACTTTGATACATCTCTTTCACAATTCTTTGATGAATGGAACATTCAATAGAACAGCATTTATTTTAAATGTAACATCTTAAATGGCTTTCCTGTCACTTAGATCTTTCCTGATCATTTTAATGTGTCCTTGCTAAATAAAAGTATTATTTTCTTTGAAATAATTGCAATGACCCTAAACCTTCGAACAGCAGTGTGTGTTATTGGAAAAACATATTTTTCCAAGTCAAGATACATGAAAAACTCTGCATTCTTTTTGTTGACTCACAGGTAAAACTAATGGCTCGTTTTCACTGAGTGGTATGGTTCGGTACAGTACAGTACGGTACGCAATTATTTCCGTTTCCACTGTCAGAAGTTGTGAATAGTACCAAAATAGCGAACCGTACCGTACCACTTTTTTTGGTACCCTTCCATTGGGGTACCTAGCACAGCAAAGGGTACCAAAAGGGTGGAGCTAAACTCACTGCAGAACGTTGATTAGTTGACTAGAATCGTTACTTTTGCGTGATACAATGGGATAAAGCGTCCTTCACTCGTTCCGCTTTGCTGTCCGTGAGTGTTGGGATTGTTTACATCAGAGTGTGCAAACACAATAAAATATAACCGTGTATTTTATAATTTTATATTTTCACACAGACAATAGCCGTTTCTCAATATGCATTCTTGTCTGTTCTTGTGAACTTGTGAAACATCATTGCCCAAAAACCCGCGTAATTTTCTAAATGTTACTGTTATTGTGTCATGAAATGTAGTTTTAAGAGTTTTTCAGGCGAGAATGTAATTGTTTAAAACTCAAATCTGTGGTTTATTTATAAAGATAGCGCCTATTTGAACATTTGCTATGCCGATTTCGAAGCTTCAGGCGATCACCGGGCTCTTAGTGCTAATGTATCCGCATAGGTCTTTTATTAAGTTTTAGTTGTATTTAATTTGAGTTATTTTAATACTTCAACAAACTAAATGAAAATGAAATAATATATATATTGAATTTATACAAGTGTATATACATGATATATGGTTGTACATACACATATATGTAGTTTTTTTTTTTTTTTTGGTGTTTGGCTTAGTGTTATGTTAGAATCATTGTTATACTCTTATACCTTTTGTTCTTTAATATTTTGAATAGTTTTTAGCTTTATTTTTTTGTTTTTCATTTAAATGTTAAGTTTTGAAATTTTGTATGCATTTGTCATTTTTATTTAATTTCTTTATTTTTAAAATGTGTATAAGTAGTATTTATAAAGTTTTAGCTTTTAGTTTTGGATCTGTTTTTAGTTGTTTTAATACTACAATTGATTGCTTCTGTTGTCCTCATTTGTAAGTCGCTTTGGATAAAAGCGTCTGCTAAATGACTAAAATAAAATAAATATAAGCCTCTTATACTTTGTACTTGTACTTTTATAATGACTATTATTGTTCATTAAAACTGACATTTAACAAAAAGAGGCAGAGTTGTGCTTATTGTCGCGCTTTATCGTCGATCGCTACTTTCCGGCATACACCACAGTCTGCATACACCACGCCTATCAAGAAGGGTACTATTGGCAATGAAACGCAAGCTGGATCAGGGTTACCCGTACTGCTCAGTGGAAACGAGCCATAAAAATCCATCAATCATATCCTTCAAACAAACTTTGAGTGCTTGAGTTTCCTAGAGTGCATTCCATTGTTTGTGACGATCTGTGTTCTGCCCCTGGTGTTAACATGTGATACTGCAGGGTGGACTATTGTGATGAGGCTGTGAGAGACTCAAGCCAGACAGTGCCTGTAGACATCCACCAACCACCAGCCTTCCTGCACAAGATCCTACAGCTCAACTCCGTACAGCTCCTCTATGAGACTCTCGGAGGTTCACAGGTCAGAGAAACTATACAACCTGTTAGTTAGTGGCTTTGCACTTTCAATGACTCCTATTTTTTTTTTACCCTTTTTTCTGCATTTCACTTACATGCCAGCTTGTGTATTAATAATTAACATTGTGTACTGCAAATATTGTTGCCTCTCATGATAAATTGCTTGTGATGTTCCTTATTTGTAAGTCGCTTCGGTTAAAAGCATCTGCCAAATGAATAAATATAATGGGCCTCATTCATGAAACACGAGCAGAATAAATGTTTGTGTAAATCGTTTGTAAAGCTGTTCTGACGTAAATTTTCGGATTCATGAAATTGTTCGTATTTTCAAAATGTTAGTTGGTACCAAAGAAATGTACACCTGCTCCCTGCCATGTGTAAATGGTGCTGTGTTCTTTTTGGCAAACTGATGACACTGAATTTTGATGCACTGCCATCGTAATATTGTACGTTTGTTTGTCCCGGTTTTTTTTTTTTTGTAGCTGAGAGTTGATAAACTGTTTAGCTTTAGGTAAAACGCAACGCTTGTCACTGTCACTTTTTACCCAGCCGTCCAGTCAGTGGACAAGAGGTGGGACAAATTCTACACCGACCAATCATACTACTTGTACAACAACTGAACAAGTTAACATTGCTGGTTACTGCATTTTTATATCTAGTAATATTCTTTTTTGTAGCTGAGAGTTGATAAACTGTTTAGCTTTAGGTAAAACGCAACGCTTGTCACTGTCACTTTTTACCCAGCCGTCCAGTCAGTGGACAAGAGGTGGGACAAATTCTACACCGACCAATCATACTACTTGTACAACAACTGAACAAGTTAACATTGCTGGTTGCTGCATTTTTATATCTAGTAATATTCTTCAAAAATATACTGCCGTGGATATTCCTAATTGTAATTGTGAATGAGCGTGCACGAGCGCCCTATTTACGAATGATTGGAATTCATTAACATACACATGTTTAACTATCAAATCGGACGTTTACGAAGCATTTGTGAATCCGGAGGAGAGTTTTCGGGAAGGTCCGTTTTACGCGCAAATTTCTCAGAATTTACTCCTATATTTACGAATGTTTCATGACTGAGGCCCAATGTCTGTAATGGACAGTGTCTTTCAACTCATCCATTTAGGGTCTGGTTTATTCTGATGACATGGCCAGCAGCAGGGAGACGGATAAGACGGATGAAAATGATGATGATGATGCATCTGATGCCCCTCAATCATTGCATCCCACCCCGAAGCCCCCAGAGCCTCTGCTGATTGGACAATGCTCCGGATTCATAGAGACAACGGTCAAAATCAAACAGAATGAAATGCTGCCTGGGCCCAAGGTTTGTCTGCACAATAAAAATAAAAAAGACTGAATAGGAATATTTTATGGATGTTCATGATTCTTCTGAATCAGTGAGATCAAATGATCAAATCATTCAACTTCATCATGCATAAAGGAGTTTAATTAGTCCAAAACAGGAGATTTATGTTTCTTTCATTGTTAACTGAGCGGAGTTCCTCTTTTTCCTCTTAGTTGGAGTTGGATGGTAAAGTAGGGTGTCTCCACCTGCTGCTGTCCCCCAGTCAGATCACACACCTGACGGACCTCCTGTCCTCCCTCTGCATCGAGACATCAGGTAACATGAGCACTCTATTCTCTGTTTGCTCATCGATTTTAATATGCTTTGTGTCTCGCTTTCTCCCTTTTCAAATGAGACACATCATCATATGGCTGTTTGCACCAGCCTTAATTTAAAGCCTTTTTCAGAATCAGATTGTTCTCTATTTGTCAAGTGTGCACAAGCTCACAAGGAATTTGATACGGTTTCTAGGAGCTCTAGGTACTTACATACATATATATGCAAAAATAAACAGAAAGAAAAAAAGTATTACTAATTTTATTATTATTAAAATGATAAAACATATCCTACTGTCTAACCCCTAGGTTGCATAAGCACCATAAGGATATTGATCTATAAAAAAACAACTGGATAGTGGTGGGTGTACTAGCTGTTCAAAATGGAGATCGCCTGTTGAAAAAACAGTTTTGTGCCTGGATGTTCTTGCCTGATTGACAGTGTCCAGTGGAATTACTGTGGCTTCTCTTTCTCTGTTTGTCAGAGGGCAGTGGTGGTGTTGGTGTGTCCGGTGGGGGTGTTTCTAGGCCTCTGGGTTCTGATGATCTGCGATTGATTGAAGAGGATCTTAGTAAGCAGCTGAACTCAGAAATGTATGACAGAGATATGGAGCTGGATGCAGAGCCCTATGTCAACAGCATGGAGAACAGAGGTGAGATGAGAATAGTCAATATTTTGTTGAGATTATTATAGAACATTGATTATAATTATGGGTTCAGACTAGCATACTACTGTATTGCTATTTTTGCAGCAAGTGCGTGCCGTTTTATCATGCATGACATACTTGTATGACTTGCAACATTTGCTAAATTGTGTAGTGTACAACCAGAGTGTGGAATAATGTATTCCCCAATGCAATATGCTCGACCTTACTTTACTTTACTTTTAGTCATTTAGCAGACGCTTTTATCCAAAGTGACTTACAAATAAGAAAAAGTAATTAAAGCTAAAACTCTAAAAACACTATATATATACACATTTAAGAAAATAAAAGAAATTAAATAGAAATGACAAATGCATACAACAACATTTCAAAACTAAACATTTAAATGAAAACAAAAAAATAAAGCTAAAAACAATTCAAAATATTAAAAGAACAGAAGGTATGAGTATAATAATGATTCTAACATAACACTAAGCCAAACAACTACATGCGTGTTTGTACAACCACACACATACTGTACATGTACATATATATATATATATATATATATACATTCAATATATATTATTTCATTTCCATTTTGTATGTTGAAGTACTGAAATAACTCAAATTAAATACAACTAAAACTTAATAAAAAAACCTATATAGACATAATAAAAAACGAATAAAATGACAACATTACTACAACTGTAACTAAAACTAAAATAGATAACTAATACAAATCAAACTACATTAGTTTATCAGTAATCCTAAAAAATTGAGCCAATAAAATAACAACAACTTACTGACACATAGTAAGAAATGGTTATAAAAAACTGAAACAGAAGTGAAACAAGTAGTAGGAAAGAGGAGAAATAAAAAGCGATACTTATCCTTCGCCGGTGTCCCAGTCCGGTGGAGTCACACGGTAGAGTCGATGGTCGACCTGACCTTCAGTTTTATTTGTGACAGTATCAGCATGCCAGGAAGCAATAAGAGTTGGGGTATTTAACTTCTCTTTTATAGATACTTTTTTGATTAAAATATAAAATATTTCTGAGATGAAAACTGGATTGCCCTTGCTAAAAAAAAATAAATAAATAAATAGTAGGCCGTATATAGCCATTTTCTCCAGGGAGCTCATTTATAAAGATGTGCGTATAATGATCCTAAATGTGAATGTACAGCATTTTCCGAAATGTTGTTATGAACAATTTATAAAACAACTATGTACATAAAAAATGTTCCTAAATGCATCCGTCTTTAAAAATCACAGATCATCTTAAATTTAACACAGTGTGTTTAAGAGCATCAACTCGCCCTACAGAACGGCCACAAACATCTTTCTATGTTTCGGTAGAAGTACCACAATCCATATCAGTGGGCAAGGAAATCCAAGAACGCTCTCAAAAAATTTATGTGATTACCTATTTATTAATGTGATTACTAATTTACATTTTCATAAACAATGTTTAAGTTATTGAATAACTGTTATATGAGTGCCAAAAATTTTGTACACATGATGTTCAGTTGGTGTATACATAAGAACATTTTCACGTCAATTTCTGCCTTGATGAAAGCCAATTTGTTCCTCGTTTTTGACATTAGATAAAATCCACGAAATGTAGGTTTAAATCCGATCTTACATACATTTTACAAATGAGGCCTCAGGCTCTTGATGCTGGTCTGTTTTTATTTTCTGAAACTATTTGTAGTTGAGTATTTTGCCAACATTTCTTAAGTTTGTCTGTTTGTCATTCTGTTTTGTTTTATAAAGATGTGCGTATAATGATCCTAAATGTGAATGTACAGCAGTTTCCGAAATGTTGTTATGAACAATTTATAAAACAACTATGTACATAAAAAATGTTCCTAAATGTATCCGTCTTTAAAAATCACAGATCATCTTAAATTTAACACAGTGTGTTTAAGAGCATCAACTCGCCCTACAGAACGGCCACAAACATCTTTCTATGTTTCGGTAGAAGTACCACAATCCATATCAGTGGGCAAGGAAATCCAAGAACGCTCTCAAAAAATTAATGTGATTACCTATTTATTAATGTGATTACTAATTTACATTTTCATAAACAATGTTTAAGTTATTGAATAACTGTTATATGAGTGCCAAAAATTTTGTACACATGTTGTTCAGTTGGTGTATACATAAGAACATTTTCACGTCAGTTTCTGCCTTGATGAAAGCCAATTTGTTCCTCATTTTTGACATTAGATAAAATCCACGAAATGTAGGTTTAAATCCGATCTTACATACATTTTACAAATGAGGCCTCAGGCTCTTGATGCTGGTCTGTTTTTATTTTCTGAAACTAGTTGTATTTGAGTATTTTGCCAACATTTCGTAAGTTTGTCTGTGTTTGTCATTCTGTTTTGCATTTGTCACTGTTCTTCTGTCTCAGAGATGTTTTATTCGATGGGTCCTGGTATGACCAGCAGTGTGTTGTCAACACGCTCTGGGAGTGAGTTATCTGACAGCGATATGGAATCTTCCATTCATAGCCAGAGCAGCCTGGCTCAAACAAACCCTCTGTCTCCACAGGTCAGTGCTGCTATGAACTCAAATGTGTATAGGTCTTTTCTCATCACGGTCAGCATATTTTGTATTTCTGTTGTTCAGAAACTGAACAATTCATTCAGGTGTGCAAATGTTTGTCAGAGAATGACAAAAAATTCACGTCAAATTTAGTTTGAATAGCTTGAAAAAATGTGTACTTGTCAAGACATGCTAGATTTACTGTATAGCATGTCACATCAAAGACTGTGTTTTGCTAATTCTTTTATTCTTAGTATTATGCATGCACTTTTTCTGACCACATATTAATTGATAGGCTATATTTTCAAAACTAAACTAGCAAAACATGAAGATTAAAAATGGTGAAAAAGAAATGGTGACGATATACAGTTCCTGCAGCTTAAGAAGTAGAGCATGGCAAGGTCATGGGTTCGATGACCAGCGAATGCATGAACTGATAAACTGTAAAATTTTAATGCAATAGAGCTTAGTTTGGATAGATGCCAAATTGAATTTGACACGAATGAAAACAAGAATGTGAGAGATAGACTTGCAGTCTTTACAATGGCATGGGCTGTATAAAGGTTCTAGATCACATGTTTAAACTTTTACAGGATCTAGTTATACAGAATCTTAGATACACTCTTTCCCTTGTTCTTTCAAATACATTTCAATATATTGATTTTGATTAAGCCAATAGACCTGTTATGCATCAGCTATCTATGTACAGCGTGTATGATTGGCTTGCACTTTTATATGTCTATTACAGGGAATGCTCAACTGTCCTCGTCGTTATCCTGTACCAGGATCCTTATCTAGTTTGCCTCAATGTAGCAGACCTCCCAGTATGTATTTAAACCTGTTTTAAACAACACATTGTGTGTGTCACTGCATTCCATTTATGTTTTCTCTTGCAATCCATCATCAGTCTTTGTTTTTCTCCCAATAGAACGGTCGTCTCGTAGCAGTCAATCAGAGCCGCTGAAACCAGACTCCTTGCTCCGCCTCTCTCTGGGCGGGGTCACACTTACTCTTTTAGAGCAGGACCCGCCTCCTGGGCCAGATGGGCTCTCCTCGTTGGCTGAGGTGTCACAGTTGTTTTTCCATGAGCTTGCGTTCTTTAAGGATGGCATGTTTAGTGAGAGAGACTTCCACAATCTGAGAGGAAGCTTTGCTAAAGCATGTCCCCATTCCCACATCAGGTATGGCAGGAATTACCTGCTGTGCTCACCTACTGTATATACATGTACACACACTCTTTTTGACTCTCTCTGTCTTCTGGTCTTCAGGATGACCGGTGCAGCAGTGCAGCTGACATGTGAGATGCGTGGCGCAGGGCGGCACACCCGAGCCACGACCTCTGACCTCTCCTTCAGCAGGCTGGAACTGCTGGAGTGCCTGTGGGAGTCAGGCGGTCCACAGTACACAGAGGTACGCTGCACACCTGCAAACTCTTGCACCCAAATGTTATTATTTACCAGGCCTTTCTGGGTTTGCTCTTTTGAGCCCTAAAACTCAGTAATAAAATTAGTTGGATTGTTTTTTCTTTAAATTGATTGGTAAGTCATCGAGGTTTACCAAAATGCACCAAAATCTGATTTACAGTACAGATTGTAAAACCATATTTTTTTGTTTTTTATTTCAGCTGAAGTGTAGATGGTTTTTGCACCAAAACAGTGCTAACTTAGTTACAGTAAAGTGCAATTTGTTCACATGTATTAATATTTTGAACTAACTTTTATTTTAATAATATTAATACATTAATACACTGTGTATTGATCTAGGTTAATGTTGATTTGTAAAAAATAAAATAAAATTGAAAAAAAAATTCTGCTTTATTAGAATTCTCTGCCGATTTCTTTCAAAATGTTGATGGTTTGAACATTAAAAATTAAGAAATTAGGATGTTATTATTTTTCATCATAATAATAATAATAAAATAATAATAATTGTTCAGCCCTACAAACAAGCACAGCAAACCTAACCTAATCGCAATCACAGTTTTTATCAGGAAAAATCACAATTATGTTTTTCCTCAAATTAGGACTGGACGATATGGCCAAAATTTATATCACAATATATTTCTTAATTTCTTGTAAAAAATAAAATTAAATTAAAAAAAAAAATTCTGCTTTATTAGAATTCTCTGCCGATTTCTTTCAAAATGTTAATGTTGATGGTTTGAACATTAAAAATTAAGAAATTAGGATGTTATTATTTTTCATCATAATAATAATAATAAAATAATAATAATTGTTCAGCCCTACAAACAAGCACAGCAAACCTAACCTAATCGCAATCACAGTTTTTATCAGGAAAAATCACAATTATGTTTTTCCTCAAATTAGGACTGGACGATATGGCCAAAATTTATATCACGATATATTTCTTAATTTCGGTCGATACGATATAATTCCGATATCGATATGAACACTATTAAAAAAGCCTCATAAAAACGGCCAAGAACGGCCACAACAGATGTCTGTACCTACAAACTTATGAAAAATTAATTTGCCAACTCTATGAAACCTACTCCTATAAAACTATATAATATTTTAGGAAAATAATGGCGCAAATAAATAAATGTTCACCTTTTATTGGTATTCAGCCTTCATACAAACAAAAAATGTGAAATCACTGTCAAATAAATCTCAGACTCTCCTTATTAATA